AAGACTTTACGCTCACCCCTCCCGAATGTTGAATGAATGTTGTGGTTTTATCGCTAATTATTTTTACTCACATTTTCTTTTTGTGTTTTGTCCTGCACTCCCCTCCCCTATTATTGTAAGCCGCCCTGAGTCCCCTCAGGGAAAAGGGCGGCCTATAAATGTTTAATAAAACTACAAAAAAAAAAAAAAAGCTTCTTCAGCTCTGACAGGATAGCAGGGAATGGAAGGATTCTTTGCAGGCAGCTAATCATTCGCATCATTTTAGAGCAGGGCTGTCAAACTCCGGGACCATGGGCTGGATGTGTCACGCACTGGCCACGCCCATGCCCGGTTTAGCAAAGCGGGGGGAGGAAAGTCCCGATAGGTCATGTGATGCCACCGTGAGTTTGACAGCCGTTTTAGGTCATTTCAAAGAAGAAAAAAACAAGAAAGTCCAATTGCCTCCTGAAAAAGCATCTTTGGGACAACCATGACCTCGATGACTGAGAATCTCTAAAGACTTTTATACAACTTGCATGCCTGAAGTCAGAAAATCCGGCCAAAAGGCCTATGGCTTAATATTGTTTGCCAACTAATGCTTTACAGGTACCTAGACTCCTCTACCATGGAAGAATGGAATCTATTCTAACACATCCAGATGTATGAGGTTGAGGAAGGCTGTTTCAATTGACGGGACTACAGTCAAGTTTCATACCTTGTTTTGATTCCCGTATTTTCTTCACAAAAGGGAGACTCCCTTGTCTCAAATAGTCTAATTTCCTCTACTAACATATCACAAAGTTTGCCATTGCCCATTTCAATTTTCTTTTCACTTCCCAGTTTAGCCAGGGACTTCCTGGTGATCTTCCATCCAAATCATGCTTGGTTGTTTTTTTCTGAGATCAACTTAGTCAGCTGGGAGTTGAAATCCACTCTCAAAATGGTGAAATATAATTTGATATACACCCACGGTATTTCCAACTTTTAAAGTTCCTTTTTACTGAATCAGAAGCCACTGCAGTCAACCAAAATCATTGGATAATATTCTTGTCGGTTGTTGGGAAGAACTAAGCTAAGCATGTTTAAAAGATTAAAAGATAATGTTATTAAAATTGGGTCTTGGTTTTTTCTCAAAATTATGGTTTAAAAAAACTCCACAGCTTTATTTTGGGTACTTGCTCCTTCTTACAGAAACATGCAGACATGGCAAAAACTTTTTAAAAATATGCATACAGAAAAGAGATGCTACACAAATAAAAATATGAAATATACCAAAGAACATACTAACAGTCTTTATTATGATTTGTATATTCAGTAGGCATCAACCATAACCCCAGGGTTCCTTTTACATATCTTTCAGACATTGCATTTCATCTATTAAACCAGAGCATCCAGGTTATTATTATGGCACAAACATCTGTCCATTTCATCTCCAGAATCAGACTGAAGACTGGGAAGATTATAATCAAGTTTCGGAGAACGGCAGCAAAAGGGAAGACCCTACAGATGTAGAGGAAGGACGGTCCAGTCAAAGCTGCCATAGATGCCAAGACTTCAGTGCTTCAATTTAGGATCTCTGACCCAGGGGCGGCCAAAATGTACGTATGGTTCTCAAACAAAAACATTTCTCCAGCACAAAGGACAGAGTTAAAGCCTTTCCTTTCAAAGGAATACATGCTGCTAGGTATTGCAGCCGAAATACATGCAGCCATTTTTAAAGTAAAATCATCAAAATGCAAAATATGAACTGATTGAGAAGGAACTAAAAATGGGAAATTTAATAGCTAATTTTCTTCTTTTTTTTTTCAAAATGAAAAAAAAGATCGAGCCTAGCGCTAAGAAGGGGTCACCTTGATCCCTTGGTGAAAGAGGATGTCCTAAAAGGGATATTATGTCAGGAAGGCCAAGCCAGCCTCCCTGCTCTTTGTAATTCTTCCTTTGTTCCCCAGGGGCAACAGTCTTAAGGCCTTGGTGTGCAAGGAGAGCCGTTCTGCTTCCATGTCACATTCTACGGTACACAAGGCGGCAATAAAACAATCAATCTTTCCAATTTCATTAAATCAAAATGGCTCAACACCCTGCTCTGAGCTGGCAGGTTTAGTGATCTGTAATTTTTTCTTCTGGGTACGGTGGATACTTAAACTTATGGACTCATCATATCCATTTCCTGTACCCCAACTGGGTATTTTACACCCATGCGCCTCAGAAACACAGTCTGGGCTGGGAAACCTACTACCCACAGCAAAGGATGGGCACGTGTCCCATTAAAGGAAGCTGGTGGGAACGTGAAGATGGGGTCCTCCGTGTCTGCATCGGTAAAGGTCACACATTCCCCCACGTAGTCCAAGGACACTCGGATTCTTTTGGGGTTTTTGCTCAGAGACAAAGCCGTAACAGGGGAAGTGAGGGCCCAGTGTTGGCCCTTCCAAAGCCCCACAGCCCAGATCCCCTCCTCTGGGCTAAAGTCCATCATCCCCTTCTTCTTGGAAGGATCTCGGGTGACCCCCACTGCCCAGAATTCCCCATCGCCCACTTCCAATTCCCAAAAGTATCTCCCAGAGGTGAACCCATCACAGCCCAGAACCAGAGCTCTGGAATCCAATCTTTGGGGGGTGTCAGGGACATAATGTAAGGCAGGCAGCCGGTGCCGAGATTCTCTATCTCCTGCATTTCTTTGGTCCAGAGGCAGAAGAGCACTTGAGAAATCCAGATCAAAAGTTCCTGTGAGCAGAAAGAAGCAAACATCTGTCAGCACCTTGATTTCCCTTCCATTGCTGCTGCTTGCTTCTGGCTCTGTTTGCTCAGCTGAGTATCACTGCATCTTCTCTGTACCATTAGCTATTCCTGGCAACACCCCCAAAATTCAGGTACACTGCAACTCTACCTTGGACTGGGATCCCCAGAAATCACAACAGAATTGAATTAGCAAACCACCTGCACAAATTCCCTGGGTGGTTTTAAAAAAAATGTGAAAAATAAATACAACCAAATAAAACTACTATCTACTGAGCCATAGAATCCTTGTCAAGGTGGTTTCAGGACTGTGAGAGCTCTCTGCTAAGATCTTAAAGAGAGCCATCAGATGGAATTAGACAGATCAATAGATTCAAGCAAAGGACAAGGACTCTCAAGTCCAATTCAAAGGACTTGTTACACCCAACAGCCATACAATTGAGACTCTGAGTATTACAATTGAAGAACAGCTGCCTCACAGATTAGGGAAATGAAACCTCACACTCGAGAGAGTACTTTTCATTCATGTATCTGCCATATATCTCAGATATGCAATCTTGCAGAGTTTTTTTTAATATTGTCTCATTCACACAGTGAAGAGCAAAAGGGGGGGGGGGAATCAAAGCGCCAATCTGCGGATGATTAAAAAAACAAAAGGAAGTTCCACATAATACTTTAAAAGAATTCAGGGTTTTTATAATCACCAGCTTCAATCCTTGGATTTAGTTTTGATTTTCTTTCTTTAATAAACTTGCAATCATTATATCCCTTTGGCAAAATACTCTACAAAATAATTGTGAATGCAAAATGAATAACTTGCTAAGAATTTACATCAGATTAATAATAAAACTGGAATAAAAGCAAGCCATGTTCCCACTCTGTCTTAGCAATATAGCCTCAGTAGCTGAAGCAGCTTTCATTGGAAACAAAGTAAAAATATAGAAACAGTTACAAAGTCAACAGATGTTTCCCAAAAACTCACCTTTATCATTCAGTGATTTCATAGTGTCTGTTCTCTCGATGGTGTATGTCACATTATCTAGAAAAAACAGATATTTGCCAAATTTAAGCTCCTCCAGTGTAGAGAAATTAAGTTTACTGACTAAACAGTGAAACCAGAGGGACGTGGTGGCGCATGGCTTAATGATGCTGGAACTGCCAGACGGTTCAAAACCGGCTCCATGAGACAGAGTGAGCTCCCCACCCTTGATCCCTAGTTTTTGCCTACCCAGCAATTTGAAAGCATGCAATATTGTGACTAAATAGAACTTAAATGGGGGGAAAAACCTAGTCACCTCACTGGGAAAATCCTAGCTGTGTTTGCGTATACTGAGAGAAGAAGCTGGCTGTCAACAAGTCTCTCAGCTTGGGCATTTAAGAAAGAAAGACCCTTGACTCCATTCATAGCGAAAGGTATACTTTTACTATAGCCAAGCGGTTAGAGAGTAAGCAAAGCCAGATCTGAATATTCCTATGTAAATCCAGTGATTTTCCCAGGTCCCCTTGATCATCTTGTTAATGGCCAATGATATTCAAACTAGGTGTTTTGGTAACAGTTCTAAAGTTTGGCACCTTTTTGGTGGGCGTTTTCATTCCACTCTCATGCCTGGGTCCTTGGATCTTTCACCTATTGTCTCTAGTTGGCACCTCTAGTTTCTGTCATCCCCCCTCCCTATATTCCCCCAATCCCCCTCCCACCTTTTTATGTCAGAATGCTATCAAATGAAGAGGTGTGATGATGGATCTGGACCTGGCTTCCTGGCGGAGCCTATAAAAGCCAGCCACCTGAGTACTGCTAGTTAATTAGCATAAAGCTAGTGTCCCCCTCCCAATAATGCACCAAAAATAGATGTGCAAGTGCTGAACAGAATGAACTAGCAATCTATGCGGTCAATACTGTACTGTGTACCTAACATGTGTAGATTTCCTTGACATTGTATGCCATACACTAAATAAATAATAATTGTTTGAGTCCCATCAATGTATGGTCAATCTGTTAGTCAGGCATTATTTTATCTTCCAGAGAAAGTATACTTGACACAGCTTACTTTTAGCAGAGTAGGTTTGATAACGTGATTCCCTCATTCAAGGTGTCTATTGAATGGCTTCTAACAGCTGAATTCTATTTTCCCTTCCTATTTATTTTCTCAGCACATTCTGCGTAGGGAACCATTTTGATTTTATTCTTTTCCTACAGCAGCTTCTGCCTGCCTCGTATTCTGACTTTCAATTCAAAGCTTCCATTGGCCATGTCACTGAAATATATTGTGTGTCTGTATATATCCTACCGTCCCTTGTCCTCACTGCTTATCACAGATTTTCAGAAGTAAAACAGGGGCTCCTCCTATCTAAGCTGGCACTTAACACATTATATCAAGATTTAAAGACTAGCATATTGATAAATAAATAGCATACAAAATGCCTTAGCATGAGTATAGTCTTAAAAAGGCCTGCAGTCTCTTAGGTTAGCAATTAGAAATTAAGGAAAAAGGTAAAGATTCCCCCGCACATGTGTGCCATAGTCGTTTCCGGCACTAAAGGGCGGTGCTCATTCCTGTTTCTAAGCCAAAGAGCTGTCTGAAGACGTTTCCGTGGTCATGTGGCCGACATGACTCAATGCCAAAGGCACATGGAACGCTGTTACCTTCCCACCAAAGGTGGTTCCTATTTTTCTACTTGCATTTTTTACGTGCTTTCAAACTGCTAGGTTGACAGAAGCTGGGACATGTAACGGGAGCTCACTCCGTTACGCAGCGCGAGGGATTCAACCGCTGAAATGATGACCTTCTGATCAACAAGCTCAGCATCTTTGTCACTGAGCCACAGCGTCCCCTGGATTACTGATTGTTTAATCACTTTCGCATACCTTGAAATTTATTCATAGTTTCCTTTAGAACCACCCCTTTCCGTGACAACAACTCCAGTCGCTCTGCCAGCTTGGATGTCGCTTCCTCAGCCGACGGGAACTGTTCTGCGGTGCATCTGAATTTTTAAAGAGCACATTTATACCACTTACAAAAAAAGTTCAATTTTTGTCATATTGTGCATTTTTCTTACATATTTCTTAAGGGCTACGCTGAGAGGAGCACACTAGCCTAGTATACTAATCCAAGGAATGAAGCACTAATGCATACCAAATTCCAGCATCTCACTTTTTATATATTTGCCTTTCTTGCTCCAGAAATGCTAACTCCTACTTCAAGCATGCAAAGTGATACGATGGCTTCAAGACGGCAGATTTTTGAGGGGGTTGGCAAATGACACCAGTAATAGAAACTACCGGACTTTTTTTTATGCAAAACTCCAGCATCTATTTTGACAATATAGACTCTGGAGAATTAATAATACATTATGCTCTCTGTTAATTAGCATAAAGTGTGGCAGCTTCACTATTCTAAAAATAATTCTTCTTGCTTCGTTGGTTGCCACTTTTTCTCTTTTTATGGCAGCTGAGCACTTGTATCCACTTTTCCTGTCAGATTAGAGCTACTCTCACTGATCATGTGACCTCCCTCCGAAAGCACCTCAACTGCCCTGATTTTAGCAGAGAATACAAGAGCACCGAGCATGACCTTCCTTTGCCTACAAAACCCAAGGACGGTGCTTCAGAATGGAAGACCCTGCGGAGAAGGGGAAGGAGGAGAATCACACGTACCTGTCCATGTTTTTTTTAATGTCCTAGAAGAGAAAAAGAAAAAAAGAAGAAAGGCATTGAGCCTCACAATGCTCTATCCCTGCAGTCTATTGCTGGCTAACGGGGAGCATGCCTCAGCACCCTTGTCTTGGGCTGCGGAGGAGGACTCTGTGAGCGCTGTCCAAGGCATGATGGGTGGGAGCTTTGTTCTAGCCTCTGGTGCTTACTAGGCAGGGGGAAGTAGCCTGCCCCCCCCAGTCACCCTCAGGCTCTTACCTGTGATCCCTGAGGTGGAACATCGGATGTTTGCTTCAAGACAAGAGGTGGGGGATGCTCCGGTTACACACGGGAGCCTTCAGGCCACGTTGCTCTCCCTGGTGCTGTAACTGGTTCTCTGAGGAGAAGGGCTGCCCTAATTCTTTCAGCAGCCTTCTCCTCCCCGAACTGTCCGCCCACCCTTTCTGCCAGTGAGCAGGCTGGCTTTGCGCCCCCTCCAAGGCCTGCCCACCAGCTACGCCTTGCTTCACCACCCACATGACCTCTAAGCGGGCTGTCCGCTAGGCACACCTAATGAAGGGGAGGGCATGACTCATTTCAGCCCAACCGAGGCAACTGTGCCTTGTGCTTTGACAAGCCCAGGCCCAGAAGGAAGGACCCCCAAAGGCCTCCCCCCCCGCAATGCCCCGTGTCCCAGGATCACGGTGCCTCTTCACCATCACCCGTTGTGCCTCAGAGAGATTCTCTGCATGTCACAGGTTACCTAAAAATCTTGTCCTTGTTGCTTGTGGTCAGAAAGCTGGTTGCAAAATAATTAAAAAACAAAAACAAAACAAAACAAAAAAAAAGGATTCTGTGCCAAGAGATCAAGTGCGCAGGAGGTGCTGCTCGATTTTTAAAATAAACCAGCCTCACATCCTTGGAATAGCTACATATGATGTTCGCCACGGAGTGGACCACAGGAAGACCCTAAGGAGATCCCAGAAAATGCAGGCTTTTTTGCAGGCACACATACGGCACAACACCCTCTTGTTCTTCTCCACAAAAGGAACCCCACTTCTTCGCTATGTGCCCAAGTTATTTTCCCCCTCCCCTCCGCCCGTGTCTCTTTGGAGGCATGCAACTCATCCATGGACCAAATGTTGGGAGCAACATCGAATCCCATCCCGTCACTGCAGCGGCTGCAGCCCGGGAAACCCAATCACCCTTGAGAGAACCCATATTAACAGGACAGTACGTACTAGAGGTCTGCATGGCAGCCATACCCGATGGGTCCGACATGAACCTGAAGGAATGGGGTCATCCAGGCCAGCTTCTCAACAGCCTTCAGGTCAGGCTGAGGGACCTGGAAGTACATCTGCCAACAGCAGAATGCTATGATGTCATAGCATTCTGCAATGAGAGGAGCTCCAGAGCTCCAGCTCTCCCTTGTAGAAGACCAAGGGCACCGTTCCACGAGAGCATGGACCAAACTAGTAAGGTCCCCCTTCGTCTTCCCATGAAAGGCCAGCACTCTGCAAGGGTGGAAAATACTCCCACCCACAGCATTCAATTAATCTGGTTTCATCACAAACAGCCACATCAACCAGAAAGGCCAATGCCAGCACCTGCGCAGAGTAGAAAGGGAAGGGGGAACACTTTTCAGAGAAGCCCCCGTTACCTGTCTATGGTCTGTACCCCACTGTCGCCAATATGCAGATTTTATTTTTTCCCCCATATGAATATAAATAGTTGAATCCTTGTTCTGGGTTCCAGTAGGGATCACATCCAAGTTCATGTTTGACCAACTGTATCTAAGGGCCAGGAATTCACAAACCTCACATCCAAAACCTTGGGAGCCCAGTGCCAGGGCCTCTGACTCATTGGCAAGGTCACCTCCAAGCCAGAAAGAGAGACCCTTGTGATCGCAAAGTCTCACCTGCAAAAATTCACTCGCCGGTTGCTTGCACTTCACCTCCATCTCAGTGATGACATCACCAAGACGGGAAAGTTCTTCTGAGATTTTGGTCATCATGTCATCTTTCTGCTTCTCTAGGTCTTTGTCTAGCTCTTCCAGCTGGGTCAGCAGGCGTTCCTCCTGTTCTTTCAGGAATTGATGCAACTGTTCAAACTCAGTGACGATGTCCTTCCTTTCGGTTTCAACCTTTTCCTACAAGGAGCAGAGGTGGGATGAGAAAGGAGCGAACCATCCCAAATGAGGAATATAACCAGAAGATCATTACGGGGGTCGAAGGACACACAATGCAGAACTGATTGTGTTATACAGCATCCTGAAGTCATGGGATCACCATTTGCAACTTTCCTAGCCAGCTTCCAACAAGCAAGGTTAATGGGGAAAGAGGGATTCATTTAACAATCATGTTTCACTTAATAACTGTTGTGATTCGCTCAACAACCATGGCAAACTAGGACATAAAATCAGGCACAACTCACTTAACAACTGCTTGCTTAGCAAGGAAATTCTGGTCCCAATTGAGGACTTCTTGTAGATGTTGCATAAGAGACAGTGCAGGCACAGAAGAAATGGCCATAGAACACTTTGAAGAAAGGGAGAATCAAAACACAACAAGGAGAATTTTTAAGAAAGGGGGGGGGAGGAATTCAGAAATTCAAGCCTTACTTCTCTGCTCATGGTATGTAATGGTACCTACCGTGTATTCTTGGATTTTCTTCTCGCCTGTCAGCTTCTGACTCCACAGATTATTCTTTTCCTGCTTCAGAGTTTCTAACTGTGCCTTAACTCGCTCCTGAATAAATAAAAATGGCTTGAGATAGGGGGGAGAAGATTAGAGGTGGTAAGACCTTGGAAATTACAAGCACAGGCAGCCCGCGTTCACATAATATGCTAATTTTTGGTTAACTACTTAACCTCAAATGGCTAGTTCACACAACATACTAACCCGTAAATGGACCAAAATGGATGGGACAGCATACAAACTAGACTAGTCTTTTTCAGCTGGGGTCCCTGAGGAGTTGCTAGGGTTCAGCAAGAGGTTGTGATTGACTTTGCATGCCACACAATGCTAGCTGTAGATATTTATTTTATTCATATGTCAAATTTAGAAACTGCCATCTCCCTCCCAGAGCAACTCTGGCTGCTATATATAATAATTTTGTATGCAGGGAAACTCTGAGACCTAAACATTATTTCAAGGGTCCTTCAGAATACAAAGGTTAAAAAATACTATAGTGGATGATTGCAGTATAGGTTAGAATGTTGTTGGGCCAATATTTCTGATCCACTTCACTGCCATAATGCCTATCCAAAAGAGATAGGTATACAAAGCAGAATACCGACTGCTTCTCATTTCCACTGGTTTGAATGGTCTTGGGTTTTTTAAGGCTTCATAGCTGCTGACAGCCATGAAGCTAACTCTTGCTTCTTAAAAGAAAATTTAAGAGTCTTGGGCACTGATTATATCTGTACCCAACCCAGTCCCATAAGATCAACAAAATAATACAATACACAAAACCTTGATATTGGACACCAGAGATCACAATGCTCCATCCAGCTGCAGATTTTATTTCAGAGCTAGAAATAGAGAAGGCGCTTGTCCAAATGTTCTTCTAGAGCCTAATGTTGGTGACAGTTGAATTTTCAAATGCTTGCATGGATTTGTGAAGCAAACGCAGGTTTTTTTTAATTAAAAGAAACCTTCAAAACCTAGTGTAGAGTTCTGGGATCCTCTGACAGTCTTTCAACTAAGTACTAACTAGGCTCTAATACTACTTAGCCTTTTCATGATCAGACAGTCAATCAGATGCTGCTAATTTGTAAGATCATACCGTAGTGTAGCAAACATAAATAAATAAATCAAGAATTTCTCTTCTGAACCCGGTCTTGTCAAAGAAACAGGAAAATACAGTAAATGTGAAGCTCTATCAATAAACACATGAGATTAAGCTACAAACAGAAGTATGGTTATTTAAGATGTTGTGCATTCCATATAGTAAACTAACTGTTATGTATATGGGCTACATATATTTTAGCTTTAGGTGCAATAAAAAGGGAACACTCAAGAAACAAAGGTAGCTTGATGGGCAATTGCTGCTACTTTACTTGGCCCAAAAGCTAGATGCTTTGATGAACATAAACAAGCAAGTCAAAAAAAGGCAACACAAGTAGCCGTACAAATATTCATTTAGTGACTGTTCAAAGTTACAGTGGCATTGAAAAAAGTGACTCATGGGCCATTTTTCAGACTTACTGTTGCAACACATGGTCATGTAATCAACATTCAGCTGCTTGGCAACAGGCTCATATTTAGGATTGTTGCAGTGCTCCAGAGTCATATGATCACTTTTTGCAACCTTTTGGCAAGCAAAGTCAAAGGGGAAGCCAGATTCATTTAACAACCATACTAATTTAACAACTACAGTAATTCAATTAACACCTGTGCCAAGAAAGATTAAAAGATGGGACAAAACTCACTTAACCACTCTTAGCCACAGAAACTTTGGGCTCAATAAATTGAAGAGTATTTAAGTGTCTTGCCTTCCAGATCATTGCACAAACATGTGTTTAGTACTTCTGACATTGCTGGATACCCATATTCATAACCCTGCTGTCAACACAGTAGATAGCTCAGTCGAATTAAATGACCATATTATCAATTTACAATTAATTCAAACCTTGGTCATATCTGGTCTCCCACTATGTGCTTTACATGGGGAAGCCCTTGAAGTCCATTCAGAAACTTAGCTGGTTCAAAACAGTGTTGTGAACAGTAATGGGGCCTTATAAATATATGAGCTGTATATATTTCAGCTTTAAGTGCTATAAAAAGGGAATATTAAAGAAACATTGGTAGCTTGATAGGCAATTGAATTGTACAAAACAGTACTGCTAGTCAGCTGCATTGCCTGCCAGTTGGCTTTTGAATACAATTCAAGGTGCCAGTTCTTATTTAACACCTTATGGTGTAGAACCTAGTTCCCCGAGGGACCATTCTTCTTCCATTGTTTCTGGCTAGTTGGCTGGTACCTTTGGGTTGAACATTATCTGGTACCTTTTATTAAATGTTGTCAAATGATGGCACCTAGAAAGCATGCATTCTCTGTCATGGCCCATACCTATTTTAGACAGCACTCCCCAAAGATACAAAAGGCACAGCCAGGTGCTCTTTAAAAAACTCTTAAAATCTGGTTTTGGTCTTAGGCCTAGGGTGTGTGTCTGTGTGCATATCTATGTATCTATATCTACCGTGTCTTATTTTCTCTTGACCCCCCTGAAATAAGCACTTGGCCTTATTTTTTGGGAATTCTTATTATTTTTGAGGTACAGGGGGCGGTGAGTGTGGTCATATCATGGCTGCTGCTGTGTTGTAATATTTCCTGGGCGGGCTTATTTTTGGGGAGGGCTTATTTTAGATAGATATCAGCTCTATTAAATGATGATTATTTGGGGGAAAGTATATCCTAAACTGGAAACCAGAATTTTAATAGATGCTACTTCCATCTAGCATTCCCCATATGTAATTTTCCTCAGGAAAAAAAAAACATAACGATTTTTTTAAAAAAGAAAGAAAGAGGGGGGGCGTTTAGACGGAGGGCTCCCTGGCTCCTCCTTACCCTGTAATCCCGGGCTGCCCTCTGGACGTGGAAGATGGTGTGGGCGCGGTGCTCCTGGGATCGGTCGCAGTGGGCGCAAATGGGCATCTGGTCCTCCTCGCAGAAGAACTGCAGCACGTCCTGGTGGATTTCGCACAGCCTCTCGCCGATCCCGTCTCCAGCGACTCCCACGGGCGCGATGGGCGCCCTTTTCCCGGTCGGGGAGGCCACGGGCAGAGGGGCCGGCGGCGGGGTGGAGGGAGGGGCCGGGGACGGCGCGAGAGGGAGCAGCGGAGGGGTGGCCGGCGGGGGCGTGGGCGACC